CTGAGGGCTCATTTGAGTCCAACAAAGTCTTCTCCGCTAGCTCGTAGTACGATCGAACCCGAGCATCATGCGGGCTATCCCCGGAAGGGCGGTGCCGAGAAAGAAGCTTCTTGATTGTCTTTTGACTTTCTTCAGAGAAGTATTCAACCATTGGAAGGTATGCATACGTGTTGATTCCGATTGATGTTAGCAACCCACTTTGGCTGGTGGCATAGTCCTCCATGGCCTTTTTCAGGGCTTCTGGCTCCTGTCTTACAAGGGCATCCAGCGTCTCGATACCATCCACTGTTTCGAAGCTGATTCCACAGATGAGATGATCCTGAAGATTTTCTCCCACTCCCGGAAGGTCCTTGACAAGGTTAATTGCATGATTGTCGAGTATGGTTCTATTACCAATCCCCGATAACTCGAGGATTTTGGGCGACTGAAAAACACCAGCAGCAAGAATAACTTCTTTACTAAAGGCGGCAATTTCTATTCTGTCATTATGCCGATATTGAACCCCAACCACCTTTGTGACGTCGAATAGAATCTTCTCCACGGTCGCATTTGTAAGGACTTCGAGTTTGGTCCTATCCTTGATAGGGTTGTAGTATGCTGAAGTTGCATAGCTCCTTTCCTTCCTTATTGGATGAATGCTTGAAAGACAACTAAAAGCTCCCACAGACATTCCGAGGAATGGATCATTAGACACGTGATAACCCTTCTTCTTGAAAGTTGCTGCCCAGGCTTCACGGACAGGATGCTCCTGATTACCAGCGAAAGACAGTTGAACTGGACCATTGGGAGCATCATAAATGCGATATTCGTCAACCCCTAAGGTCTTTCTTGAAGATTCTTCAATAGATGGTGGCGTATACGCTTTTGTATAGTATGTCTGAAAGGTACTTGAATTCCATCCATCGTTCCCAAGCGCCTCCCATGCGTCGAGTGATCCGCGAGTAGGGGGGACGAAGACTTGCGCGTTGACAGCGCTTGACCCACCGAGAGCCTTGCCTTGGTGTAAAGTGATCGACCTTCCATTGAGATTCAACTGGAAGAATGTTAACTCTCGGTATATTATCATGGAGGGAATGCGTGCTTACCTGAGGCTCGGTCTGAAAATTCCAATCTACCTCTGATCCCATCAAAGTTGTGTACAGCGCCGGAGTCTTAACCCGTGGATCATGACTGACATCACTACCAGCCTCTAAAACGAGAATACGTTGGTTGAGATCTTCTGACAGACGATTGGCCAAGACAAGACCTGCAGTACCTCCTCCTACAATCACAAAGTCATATTCTGCCAAAACCATATTCGAGAACAATACTTGGGAGCAACCACTGATGAGCGTCGAGATTTAATGAAAGGAATCAGAATAAACGAGTACATAGAATGAGAGATAAGTAGGTTATATTTGTTGGTTGTTTCTAACCAAACTTATGTGGGCGTTACCTTAGCTTAGGAACCATTGGCTGCTCTCCCTGGCTTGTTGTGTTGGGAGTCGCATGGTTGGAGCAGGAAAGCTTCCCCACTGCATATATGCTATAATTAAAGGCCTCGCCAAGTTTTTTTTTTTTTTTTTTTTTTTTTTTGATAATGATAGGAGTGTTTTAAATGGGTTGATAATTTAAATGCTCTGAGATTCTCACACGACTTGTCTTTGGTATTGTAGAAAAGAGAGATCATCAAGCTTCAATTGGTGGTCTGGTGTAGGCCGTCGCTGTGAATTTTACAACGCACCTAATATAAGATAGAGCTTCGACCAAATATCATTCAGCTACTTACTAGGGTGGGCTTGATCATGATACTTCTCTTAAACTTTACGTAAAGATTCGAATGTGTTTGGGGAAGAATTGCTGCGTATACTTTGGTGGTGCTTGAGTATTGAATCGCCCGCATGATAGTATGATGGCGCAACTAGAGTATCAACCCGTCCTGGAGTCGCAACATGGACTAGTGCGGCTTGCCGTCATAGGGGGTCTCGGTAGACTGAAGATACACCCGTCTAGTTATCTAAGGCGCTCTAACTACTTGTAAGTATCGCGGAATATAAATAACTTTATAACGAAAGAGTGAGGTGTCTTACGTATCATGGCTCAAGGCTGGAACAAGCAATTGGGCCCCATTAGTAGTATCGTAGCCACAGTTGTCTAGCAGATTCAAAGCTCTGAGGAACACTCGTACTTGAGTTTCGGAAGAGGATGCGAGAGTTTGACTGAATACTTGGCGGCTACGATTACATCTAGGTAGCCTCGGAATGTATCAATATCTTTATGGATCGTGAAAAGATAGACCATCGTTTTAGTTGAATCAGAAGAAAGAGTATGAAAATAGAACTTTGTCATATCACAAATCAATCGCATCGCAAAGTAAAGGCTTATCTTAAGCCGCAATACTAGTCGCCTGTTACTTAAATCCTGCTTATGCGTGTCGGCTGGTTGTTCCGAGCTAGCTCATTGGGTCCAGCAGCCTAGTAAATGATCACGCAACTTTATCCCCGAGCACGTCAGCGTCGCTTGCAGGGTATCGTCACAGCATACGCAATCAGAATGGAGATACCATAGCACAAAACAGTATCACTACGGTAAAATGAGGTCCGCTATTTGGTTTCGGACCTCGCGATCGGCCAGTCGGCGATACGTCGAGTTCATTGGCTCGTAACATTAAGTGACGAGCTGAGATAATAGCGATATTTAAGGGCTGAGCCTCACAGCACCATATCTCTAGAAATGAACGGTCGCCGAAGATCTCTTCACCATTATTCTCATTGAGAGGTGTTCGTCGAGACATCAGTATGGTGCTGGAGAAAACTCTTGAGACTGCCGTGACGGCCGGGCACAGCGATGAAGAAGCGGCCCCTGTCAACGTCGATGGGTCCACTGTAGCGGATTGGACCGAAGCAGAGGAGCGCGCTGTGAAGAGGAAGTAAGAGATTATTCTCGCGATTTAGCCTTTGCGCCTGTAATGATTGAATCGATTGTTCTAACCGCCTCTAGGCTCGACTTCATTTTGCTTCCTATCCTAGGCTTGGCGTTTTTCGCGTTGCAGATGGACCGAGGGAACATCTCCAACGCCCTGACAAGTACCATCACGAAGGATCTGGGTATTGATACCAATCAGATTAATGTTGGGAACAGCCTTCTCTCGGCTGGCATCGTCCTCTTAGAGATCCCTTCCAACATCCTTCTACAGCGCGTAGGGCCTCAGAAATGGCTGTCCTTTCAGATTGTCGCTTGGGGATTGGTGGCTACCTTACAGAATTTCATGACAAACTATGGTAGCTACCTCGCTACTCGTTTGTTACTAGGATTGGTACGTCGGATGAATGATGGACCTCGTGTATTTCGGTATCGCATGCTGATATTCGCCTACACAGTGTGAGGCGGGCTTCATCCCGGGTTCACTTTACACGATGTCAACGTGGTACAAGAAGTCCGAGTCCAGCCTACGGATATCAATCTTTTTCCTCGGAAATCTCATTGCATCGGCCACTACCTCATTAATCGGAGCTGGAATCCTTAGCATGGGTGATCGATACGGAATTGCTGGATGGAGATGGCTATTCATAGGTAAGCTCACGTCATTCAACCTCCTTTTCCATCCGACTCCTATGATTTAACCTGAGATTTCCCATCGCATAGTCGAAGGAGCCATCACAATCGGAATCGGTATTATCTTTATTCTCTTCCTTCCACCCAAGGTCGGGAACGGGTCTCCGCTCATCAGCTTCGGCCGATGGTCGTACTTCAACCGGCGCGAGTCGTACATCCTGGTCCGTCGCGTAATCCTCGATGACCCGGCCAAGACCACGAACCATCTGCGCATCTCCGGCAGCGACGTCTGGACGACGGTTAGAAACCCCAGGATCCTGATGCACATCGTCATCACCATCACATCCACGATTCCCGTGAACGCGATCAACACGTACGGCCCGAGTGTTATCAAGAGCCTGGGCTACGGCACGGTTAGGGCGAACGCGATGGCCAGCGTCGGCGCGTTTATCGCCGCGGCGGTGACGGTGCTGCTGGCTTGGGTGTGCGACACCACAAAAAGAAGAGCACCATCATTGTTAATTGCGTCGGTGTGGAGTTTGATTGCATTTGCATGCTTGAGGGAGGCATGGAAGTGGAGCGCCGGGAGAAAATACGCTGCTGTCGTGTTCTCAATGGCTATGAATTCCACTATTCACATTCTTAATGTGGGTTGGCTGTCGGTGAATTGCCGCCGTCCGCAAGAACGGAGTGTCGCTATGGCGTAGGTTTCCCGCGCCCCCTAATTTCTTGATTATTCCGCGCTCATTAGCTAACTAACCTCGCGCATTTAGGATGATCATTATGGGCGCTAATGCTGGTGGCATCGCTGGGAGCCAAGTATTCAGGACGCAGGATGCGCCTCTGTATCCAAATGCTTTTACTGCCTGCCTGGTGCTGTCTGCCGTAGTGACTGTGGAGATTATTGGGCAGAGCGCTTGGTATTTCATTAGCAACATGAAGTTAGAAAAACAGGGAGATGGCCCCGTCGTGGCTGGGAAGATAGATGAGACATCGGATGGGCAGAGAGTAGAATTAGTACGGAAATGGAGATGGACATGGTAGACAGCATTTTAAAATGTGGTTTTGGTGCATAGGAAACTAAATAAGAATCTTGCCCATTTAAAGGTCTCATCGTGAGTATGAACTAGGGAACAACTTATTATTCCTCAACTAGCTACAATACCATGGGCTTGCCGACGGATTCATACTAATACTGACACTTTCGGTAGGTCAACTTTATGGAGAGATGACCTGCTCTCTCATCCGTGTGTCTTATCCCCGAGATGTTTGTGGGGTCTTCCGGCTTGGCAACAATTCTCGATTGGTGTGGAGCTCAGCTTTAGACGGTGAGCAAACACCAATCGGTTAATTAGGGTAAAATTTTCACATTTGAAGTACTTGAGATATAGGCCAAGTTTCCAAACTGTGATCTTCAACGATTCAGATCTGGCATGGTTCCATCGTATCCTAAGCTAGATCACCACGGGCTTGTGGTTTAGTGGTATAATACTCCCTTAGCACGTGACGAAGCATGCCGGCGTCTATACGACTGTTGGCTAGCCACTCGTCCGGTCTATAATGGGAGTGGTCCGGGGTTCGATTCCCCGCGAGTCCATCAGTAGGAGGTTAGATTCCTTCTATGCCACCAATTTTTTTTTAAAAATTTTCTTTTTTCATCTTCTAATAATCTACCCTCAAGAATAGTTTAGGTACCTAGTCTTCTTCGTATGGACAACTAGTCACGTGAGCCGATACATATCACATTGCAAGAGTTCAGATTTATTATTAGACTTTCTCTCTGGATATTTGACCAGGGAATAAATACCAACTAGATGGATCTTCTTCATTCTCCTTTTCACTACCTAACCTCCACGGTATCGACGCACGTAATAAGCTGCCGAGTACGAATCCGTAAATCACTCCAAGACAACCGTTCTGACATTGCTCAAACTGCCGAGCTTTCGCTCTTTTCTCCTGCAGGATCATTATTAATATAAGCTATTGAATTACTTATGGCACAATGGAAAACTCCGTTCAAATATGATTAAGGATATCATATCTGAGGATACCATGTTGCAATGTTATCAAGAATGCGAACTCGTATTCGGCATCGTCAGCGATTCACATGTAAAACAAGCAATTTCTGAGCTTGCGTTAAAGCCACGATGTGTTAGCCACATATTATTGTGTGGCTTGTCGGATTCGTATTCGGGTTCAGGGGGATACATTGAATTAATAGGTACTTTCGGCAGAGGAGAGAACAGCTCCGGCAGGCCCCTGTCTCCGCTTTCCTCTAATGCAGGTTCAGCGCAATCAGTCAGGTGCAATCCTGTTGGTCGAGACCAGTTCGAGCTTAGGCCAATTCTGCATTGAAATTGGCCAAGCAAATTGGAAAGGGTCCCTTCAGGCTTTGTGTGGGTCTTAGCAATCAATTGTCGATAAGGAGAATACCGAAAAATAATAAATGTCGTCGAAGACCCCTTTCCTGCACCGCTTCTCTCGACACTACCATATCGCCTGCACCAACTCTCTTTCATACCATCCCAGTCGCTGAGTTACGGTGTTTTATTGCCTGTTGTCTTAATTACTAGAGTTATTTATATTCTTTTCCGTCACATTCATTCAACATGGCGCCCTCAAAGATCGAGCTCGAGAAGCAGGACAGGGCACGCGATGCCGCCTTCAACAAGGCCATGCATGGCGACACCGCTCAAGCGACTGGAGGTTTCCGTGCCATTGTCGGAAAGAACTCTAAAGCACAGAAGGCTGCTGTTGACGAGTACTTCAAGCACTGGGATAACAAGAATGCCAAGGACGAGACAGAGGAAGATCGCAAGAAGCGGACAGCTGAATACGCTACTCTGACAAGACAGTATGCTACCAATACTCGTCCCCATACTCCTGTCTCATAATACTAATACTTTATATAGTTACTATAACTTAGCAACGGACTTGTACGAGTACGGTTGGGGCCAGTCTTTCCACTTCTGTCGATACTCTATTGGCGAGACCTTCTACCAGGCCATTTCCCGACATGAACACTATCTTGCACACCAAATTGGTATCAAGGAGGGGATGAAGGTGTTGGATGTGGGTTGTGGTGTTGGTGGCCCCGCTCGAGAGATCGCCAAGTTCACCGGTTGCCATGTCACTGGCCTGAACAACAACGACTACCAGATCCAGCGTGCTACACATTACGCTGCCAAGGAGGGTTTATCAAACCAGTTGACATTTGTCAAGGGTGATTTCATGGTGAGTCCTACGAACACTAGTTAATTTAGTCTAGTCGTCATATATACTAACCTCGTCGATAGCAAATGGACTTCCCTGACAACAGCTTCGACGCTGTCTATGCCATCGAAGCTACCGTCCACGCGCCCAAGCTCGAAGGAGTCTACAGCGAAATCTTCCGTGTGCTGAAGCCCGGTGGTATCTTTGGCGTGTACGAATGGCTCATGACTGACGAGTACGACAACGATAACCTCGAACACCGCGAGATCCGTCTCGGTATTGAACAGGGTGATGGTATCTCGAACATGGTCAAGGTGTCTGAGGGTCTCGAGGCCATGAAGATCGCAGGATTCGATCTCCTACATCACGAAGACCTTGCTGACCGCCCCGACCCTATCCCGTGGTACTGGCCTCTCGCTGGCCAATGGAAGTACATGCAATCCATTTTTGATGCGCCTACTATTGCGCGAATGACGTGGTGGGGTCGCGCATTGGCGCACAACTTCGCTGGTGCTCTGGAATTGGCTGGACTAGCACCAAAGGGTACCAAGAAGACAGCTGACAGTCTGGCTCGTGCGGCCGACTGTTTAGTTGCTGGTGGAGAGAAGCACCTCTTCACACCTATGTACCTAATGGTTGGAAAGAAGCCTGAGAAATGATTCACCAGCGAGTGACTGCCTAAGTAGTGCTGCGGATCGAGAGAGACAAAATGTGCTTATAAGCACAGTAATGAGTCAAGAAGCAACGCCAAAAACTTCTTAATATTAATAATACTGAGCTACCCGAAGGGTCCTCACTGGTTGATTGTTGGGCCGCCTAGGCTCTGAGTTCTTTGTACATATGTCATTGAACTATACCTACCATAGGTACTGGTAGGCGCCTTTTGTTACATAGGCAACTAGCATCATCGATGAATAGAGTAATTGGAAAAGTTCCCTACTATTCTTTTGCGGCCTGAATGTTGAGACCAGATAGGTATACCTATACTAGTAGTTCTACCGGACTCTAAATATTAGCTATGATTGTATTAACGTATTCATTGTATCGTTCATATAGATAACAGTCAGCTACATACCTAATTGTGTGGATGGCAGCTCAAAAAATACGTACGGATTACCCCCAACGGAGGATTCCCCAATCGACTTCCGTTACGGTGTTACATTTACTAACAGATAAGACAACCAACACAATAGGTGATTCTCAATTGAGGGGAATCGAGAGATTGTAAACCCAGATACGCATTGCTAACTATAGTTTTATATCATTAACTTGAATTCGATTTATTCTATTTGTTAATTGCACTGTCAATAAATACATCTAGAGATACAATAGTACATTTGTGAGTAACTGGAGATTTCAAAGCTCCGATGACTCGGAAAGGTAATGAACTAAACCCGATATGACTTAGCGTTCCTCCTCTCACCTCAACAAGCTGTTCCTATTCCATCCGAAAAAAAAAGTTGGGAGACAAACGCGAATTTGATAGCAACTCCAAAAAAAGGCTTACGGAGAAAATCGCTCTTCGACCTCTCGTACCTAATCATTATCACCACCACCCTCGTCACCAACGACAAACCACGCCAACTTCTAGTCGGCTGGGAGTTTGATCTCAATTGACTTGTATTCTCTTGTCCTATCTTACCCATCCTCTCCGTACGATCCATATCCGCCACCACCATGTCGCGCTATCTTCGTCCGGCAGCTCGATTAGCTGCCTCTGCTCGAACTGCCGCTCCCCCCCGAGCTCTCTCCCGCTTCGCCCCTGCTTCTTTCGCCGTATCTCAACGGAGAACGTTCGCCGATGTCAAGGGAGTCAAGGAGTACACTGTCCGTGAGGCCCTCAACGAGGCCATGGCTGAGGAACTTGAAGCCAACGAGAAGGTCTTCATTCTCGGTGAAGAAGTTGCCCAGTACAATGGCGCATACAAGGTTACGAAGGGTCTGTTGGATCGATTTGGAGAGAAGAGAGTCATTGATACTCCGATTACAGAAAGTGGTTTCTGTGGTTTGGCCGTTGGTGCTGCGCTGAGTGGTTTGGCTCCTATAGTAAGCATATTTACGCCTCTGAAGTCAGTCCTACAGAATGAATAAGGGTTAATCGGGCATATCAAATTTAGTGCGAGTTCATGACCTTCAACTTCGCCATGCAAGCTATCGATCAGATCGTCAACAGCGCTGCCAAGACCCTCTACATGTCCGGCGGTATTCAGCCCTGCAACGTCACCTTCCGTGGCCCCAACGGTTTCGCCGCCGGTGTCGCCGCTCAACACTCTCAGGACTACAGCGCTTGGTACGGTTCGATTCCCGGTCTCAAGGTCGTCTCTCCCTGGTCTGCCGAAGATGCCAAGGGTCTGTTAAAGGCTGCCATCCGCGACCCCAACCCCGTCGTCGTCCTTGAGAACGAGCTTATGTATGGTGTATCTTTCCCCATGTCTGAGGCCGCGCAGAAGGATGACTTCGTTCTTCCTTTCGGCAAGGCCAAGGTTGAGCGCCAGGGCAAGGATCTGACCATGGTCTCCCTCTCCCGTACTGTCGGTCAATGCATGGTTGCCGCCGAGGCCCTAAAGAAGAAGTATGGTGTGGACGTTGAGGTTATCAACCTGCGATCAGTCAAGCCTCTGGATGTAGCGACTATCATCAACTCGGTTAAGAAGACCCACCGCCTTATCTCGGTCGAATCCGGATTCCCCTTCGCTGGTATCGGCGCCGAGATCCTCGCCACAACTATGGAATACGCTTTCGACTACCTAGACACTCCCGCCCAACGAATTACTGGTGCCGAAGTCCCCACGCCCTACGCCGAAGGTCTCGAGAAGATGAGCTTCCCGAACGAGGAGCTTATCGAGAACTTTGCCGCGAAGGTGCTACGTGTTTAAACGAGGGTGAGGACTGGCAAATAGACGCGGAGTTTGAGGCATGATGAGCAATGTACATTATTAATCATTTACTACCTGGTACAATTGTTTCTACTGGATTAGGTGTCTCAAAGATGGCGGTGTCATTCCCACAATGAAAAAGGATACCTTGATTTTTGCATATCCTGTCTCGTGCTTCACCATGTGCCCGTCTAGGATTTCCGTCGCACAACTTCGGGAGTGATGTATGGATGCCCACAAATTCGGCCGAATGAACTACTACCTAGTTCCGAGCAAACTACTTCATATGCGGTTACAGTCGTACAGTGTTACCTTCTTATTCAAGATATACAGATGCATAGATGTAGGCATCGAAAGGTTTGGGCCCAACTGCTTGCCGAGTCTTCATAACCTCACACGGGAGCCGGGAGCCGGGCGCTTGGATTGGATCATAGCTGCAAGGCCGGCTACTATCCATGCAACACCCATGTGCTTGACTTGCATATAGACCAACCGAAATGCTTGACAA